CCTCAAGCCTTGCGGCACAACCAAAAAACAAAACAAAAAAAAAGAAGGGGATGCTGATAATAGTACCTCCCTCATGGGGTCATCGTGGGGATTAAACGAGAGAATACAGGTGGGGCAGGAAAGCGGTGTCTGGCACACAGTGAGTGCCCGGCAGGCATTGTGGTACCTGTCACCCACTCTCCAACATCACTGCACCTGTAGCCACAATGTCCACCATCCTCACCCTTCTCTTCTTCCCTGTCCCCTCCCGCCTCGTCCTGCCCTCTGCTCCCACGCCCCGGCCTCCCCGCAGATCCTCTGGACCTTCTCCATCTACCTGGAGTCCGTGGCCATCCTGCCGCAGCTGTTCATGGTGAGCAAGACAGGCGAGGCGGAGACCATCACCAGCCACTACTTGTTTGCGCTGGGTGTCTACCGCACGCTCTATCTCTTCAACTGGATCTGGCGCTACCACTTTGAAGGCTTCTTCGACCTTATCGCCATCGTGGCAGGCCTGGTCCAGACGGTCCTCTACTGTGATTTCTTCTACCTCTACATCACCAAAGGTAGCCAGCGTGGGGGGCCGGCTGGTAGGGAGCCTGCTCCTTCCCCAGCTCCCACCCTCCCTGGGGCCTCAGCTTCATCTCCCCAGCCCTGTATCCCTCGAGGGAAGACAGGACAAAGAGAGGGGCAGGCAGGGGTGGCCTCTGACTTTTCCTCTCTTGGAATGTGTCCTAAGCCCTCCTCCTGCCCCAAGGTTCCAGATCCAAAGTCTTTCAGTCTCACACCCGTAACAGATCCAGAATTCCCATCTCCCAGGCCCCAGCAGCGTTCAGAGAAGGGAGGGCCTCCTCTCTGCTCATGGACCTCTGTCCTTACCCTCAGGGACTCAGGCCCACCAAGATTCATTCATTCATTCAACCAACAAATTTATGGAGCACTGTCTATGTCCCTGGCCGGGGCTAGGCTCTGGGGATACAAGCTTAGGAGAAAAGATGGACAAGGCCCTCCCTTCCCTTTGTATTGTAGTCGGGGGAGGTGGTGAATAAACAAGAGAGATGATTGCTGACAGTGAGAAGGGCAGTGACAGAAAGGAACCAGGGATGTGTTGGTGAACAATGGTGGAGGGTGAGGGGGTTACTTTACATGGAGAGGGTGTGGTCTGGGGGAGGCCTTTTAGAGACGATGATTAAAGCAAAGACCTTGGAAGTTCAGTCAATCAGTGTGAAGGGAAGAGGAGACAGGAGGACAGAGGCCTGAAGGCAGCCACGCCCCCTGAGGATTAAGGCTGAGAGGGCAGAAGCGGGTGGTCTCGCCCAGCCAGCCTGCCAGGCCCTCTGACCCCAGCGCCCCCCGAGAGCCAAGGCCTCCAGCCCTTCCAGGATGGAAGGGGAGCAGCCAGCATTAGGGGAAATGGGGCCTCCTCCGGGGCTCCATGGCTCAGCCCCTAGGCCGGGAGCCTGGTCCCCGGCCCCACCCCCAGCTGATAATCCGGAGTCCTGGGGCTGCCCCTCCTGCATCTCTGCCCAGCCCAGCATCCAAGCCCCTGCTGTGGGCGTGGGAGGCTGTCCCCTCCACGAGGGACCCCTTGGTCATGCCCGCCCCCCTTTCTCTCCCCCCAGTCCTCAAGGGGAAGAAGCTGAGTTTGCCGGCGTAGCCCTGGTCCTCGCCATCCCTCTCCGGGGCAGCTGCGAGAGGCAGAGGAAGGTGACGAAAGATGAAGAGCCTTCCCATCCAGGGGAACTTTTTTAAGAACCCACCTCTCGGTACTCCCCAGCCCTGCTCCTGCCAGGTTTCAGGGGGCAGTGGAGGACCCAAGTCTTGGGGCAGCTCAGGACCTGGGCTGTTTGTAGTTTTTTTGCCTTTTAGAGAAGAAAAAAAAAAATCTTTCCTCTATTTAGGTTTTGATTCTGATGACTCCTTTCTTTTCTACTCTCTGGCCCCAATTTTTATAAACTGTTTTCGAGTGTCCTGTGGGGCACGGCAGGGTTGGAGATCTTTTCCCTCCCCCGAGCCCCCTGGCTTCCTTCTGGATCCTAACCCCTCAGCCCCACTGGTTGCCAAACACTAAATCTGCCGACACCCGCCTGCCAGACCTCCCACCGTTGTCATGGACACAACCTCCCCACGCCCAAACTTCTGCATTGGGGAGAGAGAAGAGGGGAGGGAAGTTCTCCCCTGATTTTTCATAATAATTTTTTCCAGAGTTTGGGTTTTTTGGTCATGTCCTTGTTTTTTGGCAGTTTAGGGGCGCATGGGAAGGGGGTTGGCCCAAGGGTCACCGTGGCTCTATGGCCATGTTTTTGTACAGAATTGATGGTTGATTCTTTGTTCTCTTGAAATAAACTGAGGAAAACGATGCCTTTCTTTGGCTACTCCTTGCCCTCTCTCTGGCATTTGTGGGGTCCGCCCGGCACCCCAGCCCCTCTCTCTGCCTCTGCTTTATCCCGTCTGCCATCCGCAGGCGATCCAGGCCTGAGAGGAGCAGGGAGATGAGAAACTGGGCTTCCTGAGACTCTGAGCTGCACCCTGACTCCTCATGACTCCACCAGGGAAGAGGTTGTGGAGGAAAAAAATCTCGAAGATTCTTCGTATCTTGGCATAGAACTTCCCTGACAATTCTCCCTAGAGAGCCTTTAAAAACCAGATTTTCACATTAAAATCGGGATTTCTGGCTTCTCTTGAAAAAAACCCCATCAGTCTGACAATGCCAGGTCCTCATGTCTGGGTGGCAGCAGATGGCTGGAGTGAATGGCTGGGACATGAGCTTCCCCTCCCTCCACCACCAAGTCCCCAGGACTTGGCTGAGGGGTTGATACCATCTCTTACTGGGCTGACGCTGTTGTTTTGTGGTTTTGTGAAGTTCAAAGGAAAGTCAAATCTTTTCCATGTTTCCCTCCAGATTGGCTTCACACCTGGCCTGTTTCCTTCACTTGGTTTACTTGCTTGGCCCTTGTAACCTTTTGGAGTTTTGCCCCCTGATTTCGCCAAATGCCCTAGACGTCTGCTGAGACTTTCCTTAGCCGCCTCCAGTTCTGCCGTAGGATGGCTCTGGAAGCTTCAGGAGGCAGGTAGCTGGCGTTTCCGAGCGTCTCATAAGCGCCAGGCAATGTGCGTTACACGGGTGAGCTCATGGGACCCTCAGAGCACCCTCACTTTGTTGCGGAGGAAATCGAGGCTTAGCCGGGTGAGCCACAGGGGTGGGGTTGGTACCCCGGCTTCCTGCTGCTGGATCCTGTATGTTTAGCCACTGCTGTGGGGTTTTTCAAAGGTTTTTTTTCTTTCTTTCTTGTAAGCTAAGCCAACGGACCTTCTGTTTAGAGGAATTTGTCCAGAAGCCTCTTATGGAAAATGCAGGAGCAGGGCTGCTTGGGTTGATTCAGGGTCGGGAGGGGGCACCTCTTTGAACGCAGCCCTCAAACCATCAATCTAAATCTGGTCCAAGTCTCTAGTTTGACAGCCAGCCCCGCTCAGGACCAGAGAGATTCAGTGACACGTTCCAGGTGATCCAGCTAGTGACAGAGCGAGGACCAGAGCTCTGGGTCCTCCCGTTTGCCATGCCGGAACCCTGCCCACTCCACCGCATGGCTGCCGTTTCCTCCAGTGCCCACAGGGACCACGGCCTACTTCTTTCTGCACCCTGAGCACTGCCACACAGGAAACCCAAAAAGGGGACCACGGAGCCCACATTTGCCTCCCCACAACTCACACTGTTTTTCCCAGTTTGTAAATGAACGCTCTGCAACCACTGTGGCCCCTGTGTGGGTGTGTTTGGTTTGGCCAGCCTAACATTAAGCTTTTTTTTTTTTGTATTCCTTGCCAACTAATTCCACATAAAAAGAAACGGATGTCCGGTTGTTCTAGAAAAACTAGAAGGTTCTAGAGCGACACTATCCAATACAGTGACCATTAGCACTTGAGATGTGGTGACCCCAAATTGAGATGTGCTGTCCTTGTAAAACAGGCGAAGGATTTCAAAAACTTAGTGCGGTAGGATGTAAGCTACCTGGCTAGTAATTTTTTATACTGATGACATGTTGAAATGATCATATTTTGGATATACTGGGTTAAATAAAATATATGAAAATTCATTTCACTTGTTTCATTCTACTTTTCTTCATGTGGCCAGCTGGCAAGTTTAAATGCTGCCCCCCATGGCTCACACTTTGTTTCTATTGGACAGCGCTGCTCTATAATTTTGGGTTTTTTTGGCTGCATCGTGGCATGTGGGATCTTAGTTCCCCAACCAGGGATCGCACCTGTGCCCCCTGCAGTGGAAGCGTGGAGTCCTAACCGCCAGACCACTAGGAAAGTCCTGGACAGCACTGCTCTGGACACCCCCGGGCTGTGGTACTGAACGCTGGGTGCTGAGTGAAGGCTGCCCCTTCCCAGACTCGGCCCCTGCCCCCCTCTTGCTTCATGGGTACTTCACCCACTGGAGTGACCTGCTGGGTCCCTGCAGGCAGGAGCGTTTTGTGGCCCAAGCACGAGTCCCCGATTAGTTTCGGGGCTCCCTAAGACAAGCTTTCAAATATTTGAAGACAAGGATCTCCCCTGACCTCAGTCATGGACTTGCCATCCCCTGTTCCTTTAACCACTCCTCCCACCGCATGGGTCTGAGTGGGTCCCTTGTCAGCTGGGGTGAGTTAAAGGATGTGGGCCCTGGAGACAGGGCCGGTCCCAGTGTTGGCCCTGGTTCTCCTTAGAGCCCTCTCCACGGGCGGAAGCATCTTGTCTCTGAACTTGAGCTTCCTCAGCTGTACAGTGGGGCACCTCGTGCCTCCCTCCTGTGGCCAGTGCAAGGAGTAAAGGGCTCGCTGTGTCACAGGCCTGAAAAAAGGGTTTCCCTCCCGTCGCCGCCCCTAGCTATCAAGGTGGCGCCCAGAGGGAGAGTCCAGGAGGTGGACTGGAAGTGGGACCCGCTACAGAAACCCCTGAGGAGACCCCATAGGATTTCCCCCCTCCCCATGGCACTCGAGGGCCCGGAGAGAAACAGATATGAGGACAGAGGGCAGTTTTCAGAAACCCTTCTGGAGGGAGGAGTCTCTTTACTGGTGTGGATGAGGCTGTCTAGGTGTCGGGCATTATAGTGAGGCGGGGAGCCTTCGGAGTGGTCAGATGGGGGGACAGGGCGGAGCTGGTGTAGCTCAGGCTGTGGGGACCGGTGGTGGGCGTGTTGACAGGGCTGGTGGCGGACAGCGGGGAGAGAGAGGTCACCACCACGCCGCCGTCGTCCAGGGAGCGCTTGTAGGGGACTGGAGCATCATTTCGGAGGTCCTGGAGGGCCAGGTAGGCCTGGAGTATCTGTGGGCAGAGGAGGGCGAGCTGGAGGCTGGCTTGGGTGGGGTCGGCCCAGGTGGGAGCTGTGCCACAGCTCACTGGATGATGCCCACACTGGGCTGAGTCTGCTGGGAGGAAGGGGCGCCTTCTTCCCTCTTTGCCCAAAGTCACAAAAGGGGCTTGCAGAGGTCCTGGGGAGCTGGGTGGAAGGTTCTAGCCCTCTTAACTCACACCACCCCGCCCTGCAGGGAGGAGGCTCCTCACCCAGACGAGGATGGAGAAGAAAGCGAAGGTGATGGCGGCCTTGACACTGCTGCTCCCCAGGAGGAACTGTCTGGGCGGCGAATGCTGCCACTGGTTGGCCAGGAAGCAGAATCCCACGAACCAAATGCCTGCCCAGAGGGCTGGGGGGTCGAGGGAGAGAAGAGGGGTGGGGGGGGGTGGGCGTGAGTTGGGGAGAGAGGGCTCAGGAAGGGTGGCTGGGGCCTCGGGTCTTGCCGTGGCCTCTCCCTCCCAGCCGGCCGCAAAACAACCCCTGGAGTGGGGTGTGCCGTCCACTACGGGGCTCGCTGGCCACTTGCAGCTTTTTATGTTTCACTCAATCAAAAATTCCAATCGATTAAAATAGAATTTAAAAAAATTCCACCCCTTGGTGGCACTGGCCACGCTTCAAGTGCTCGGCAGCCACACGTGGCCCGTGGCTCCCGTGTTGGGGAGTCCAGGCACAGAACATTCCTGTCCTCACAGAACCTTCTCTTGGACAGCGCTGGACTCGGTGACCTTTAGGGGCCCTCCCAGCCCTAAGTTGCTGGAACTGGGCAGGTGCAGAAAAGGAGAGGAAGGAGCCTGGGGCCTGAGGAAAAGGAACGAGCATTTATTTGGCGCTTACTGTGTGCTGGGCTCTATCTAGGGTGCTCGGCATTGGTTAGGAGGCCAGGCCTGGCTTGGAAGCCTGGATCTGCCACTCGGCAGCCATTACACAACCTCCTCAAGCCTCAGTTTCCTCTACTGTGAAATAGGAATCTGAACAGGACTTCCCTCCTTGGGTGGTTCTGAGGAAGAAATGAGACAGCCATGGGGAGCTCTTGAAGTGGTGCCTGACACAGGGGATATGCCTGGTAAATATCAACATCACTGCAGGAGTCCTTTCTCGAGCTTCATCCTCAGAAAAACCCTGAAGGTGGGAGATTTCATCCCAGCTTCTACAGAAGCTCAGAGAGGGGAGAAAACCCACACACTGAGGAGGCACCCGAGGTGAGATTTCAAACCTGGGTCTGTCTGACTCTGCGCTCTGCACCCAACCGCTGGCCACTGCCACTGGTGGCTTTTCAACAAAGGTTGTGAAGAAGGGAGGTGAATGCGAGGAAAAAGCTGGGCAGGAGAGAGGTTCTAGAATTAGTCTGGGGGTCAGAAGAGATGACCCTTACCCTGAGTCTAAGGGATGGGCAATGATCCCCCGGGAGGAAACAGCGGGCGCAGAAGAGCTTTGAGAAGTGAGGGGCAAAGCTTTGGGTCACGTGTGGAGGACGGTCGGGGCCAGCTGGGTGGTCAAGGGCAGTGCCCGGGGGGCTCACCGGCCAGGATGAAGTCCAGGAGCTGGAAGGCCGTCTTGAAGTGGCTGCTGGTGGTGCGGCCCTCATGGGCGTCCAGGGCGAGGAAGGCCAGGCAGCTGAGGAAGGCCAGGAGGCCAGCACCCACAGCGAAGCTGCAGCCCGCGTTGTTGCTGTTGAGGACGCAGTGGAGCTGCGAAGAGTTGGTCTTGTTCTGGTAGCCGTCAGTCAGCAGGGAGGAGAAGACGATGAGGGAGAAGACCTGTGGGTGCGGGATGGGGGTCCCCAGGGGCCGGAGCGGAGCTCAGCGTCTCCCCAGACCGGCTCATCCTCCCGGGCGGGTCCCCATCACTGGGTGTGGGGGCCCTGCCGTACACCCTCCCGGTGGTTCTGACCCCTCCCTCCCGGTCACATCCTCAGAGCTTCCCAGAGCCATCCTCCCGCTGCCCCTCGGCCCCTCTCCTCCATCCCAGCTCAGGCCTCATCCTCCCCACTGGGCCCTTGCCCCAGCCTCTTCCCCGGCCTCCCTGCCTCCAAGTCTCCCCACACGGCCCCCCGGGGCTCTTTCCACACCCTGCCCCTCCCAGCTCCCAGCCCCGCACCCCCATGGCTCCCTAGCACCCCCAGGACAGAGTCCCAGCCCCTCATCTCCCCCCCACTCACCCCTGCCTCGCTCACGCTCACCTTCTGCCCCCAAACCCAAGTACCAATATGAAATGCACCGTGCCCGGGATTCGGGAAGAGAGGGCAACAAGTATCTGCTATCCTGTTGATTCTCTCTGCCTTCAAGTCTTTCCCTCTGGCAGCCACTTCTTCCTCCTCTCTCCCAGCTCCACTAATTCCTCTCCATTTTAAAAAAGGAATTTGTGAAATATTCCAAAGACACAGAAACGTACAGAGAGAAGTGTAATAAACACTCAGTACCTAATGAACATTCACCTTTTGCTTCAAGGCTTTTTTTTTTTTTTTTAATATATTTTGTTTTGGCCACGCCACACAGCTTGTGGGATCTCAGTTCCCCAACCAGGGATCAAACCTGGGCCACGGCAGTGAAAGAGCTGAATTCTAACCACTAGGCCACCAGGGAACTCCTAAGGCTTTTTTTTTTTTTAAAGCAAATACAGCCTGGGACTTCCTTGGCAGTCCAGTGGTGACTCCACACTTCCACTGCAGGGGGCACGGGTTCGATCCCTGGTTGGGGAACTAGGATCCCACATGCCACACGGCGCAGCCCAAAAAAAAAAAAAAAAAGCAAATGCAGGGCTTCCCTGGTGGCACAGTGGTTAAGAATCCACCTGCCAATGCAGGGGACACAGGTTCGAGCCCTGGTCCGGGAAGATCCCACATGCCGTGGAGCAACTAAGCCTGTGCACCACAACTACTGAGCCCGTGTGCCACAACTACTGAAGCCTGTGTGCCTAGAGCCCAGGCTCCGCAACAAGAGAAGATGTTGCAGTGAGAAGCCTGCCACCGCAATGAAGAGTAGCCCCTGTTCTCCACAACTAGAGAAACTAGGTCTTCGCACACAGCAACGAAGACCCAACACAGCCAAAAATAAATAAATAAAATTTTAAAAAAAAAGCAAATGCAGCCTCACCGATATGCTAGCCCTGTCACCTTTGTCTGTGCACACACTGCACATAGCACACGGGGGTACCACTGTCCACCTAACCCTGTTCATTTATGAAACCACCGATGTATCCACAAGCACTACTAGCCTGTGTCATCCTTACAACCACCCTAGGATGTGGGCACTGTTAACACCCTCGTTTTTTTAGATAATGGAGCTGAGGCACAGAGAGGGTGAAGAGTGGCCCAAAGTCAGTCAGCTAGTGACAGGCAGTGCCTGGGTTTGAACCCAAGTTGTCTGGCTCCTGAGTCTGCTTTAACCCCTGCTATATATGCTGCCACCGGCTGGACCAGAAGCCCCGAGGGCAGAGGTTCCCATCAATGAGATTCAGTGACGATCTGAAGCCCCAGCGATTTGTCCCAGATGGTCACAATGCAGTGTGGCAGGGGCCACACCAGATATGGAAGGAACCGGTGTGTATGTGATGGGGGTGGGAGCTGGTCCAGGAGGGCTTTCTGGATGCGGTGAGGCCTGTAAGGAATGCTGCAGGGTGAGAAAGGCTATGGAGTGGGATCTTGTCTGGGGGTCAGTAGGGAGCCATGGAATGGCTGAGAGCAGGGGAGGGGCAGGGTCAGCTCCGGGTGTATGAAGAGCCCTGTGGGGCCATGCAGAGGTGGACTGGAGTGAGTGAGACTGGAGGCTGGGAGTCTGGGGAGGAGGCTGGGGCCTACGCTCAGGGAGAGAGTCAAGGTTTGAGCAGGAACTGAAGTCAGGGGGCCGGATTTAGGAAGAAGTAAGGTGAGACCTGAACTGCACCTTAAAGAATGGGGAGCTTTGGGGAGTGATAAATTGGGAGTTTGGGATTGGCATATACACACTACTATATATAAAATAGATAATAAGGACCTATTGTATAGCACAGGGAACTCGATAGACTGTAATGGCCTATATGGGAAAAGAATCTAAAAAAGAGTGGATATATGTACAGGTATAGCTGATTCATTTTGCTGTACACCTGAAACTAACACAACATCAACTATAATCAATTATACTCCAATAAAACTTAAAAAAAAAAAAAGAATGAGGAGTTTTGCAGGCAGACAGGAGGAAGGGCATTCCAGGCAGGCCAAACCATGTGTGCGAACGCCAGATGCTGCAGAGTGAAGCTCCTGCAGGGGCTGGAGACAAATCTCATCTGAGGGGTCTGGTATGAGGTGAGGCTGGAAACACAGGGACCAGACCCTCTGAGGCCTTGAACACCACACCGAGGGGCCTGGACTTGGGAGCCCTGGCAAAAATTAATTTTCTAGCTTGGACTTAATTTTATGCATGAAAGGGCTCTGAGCAGAGGATGGCCAGCGTCAGACAGGGAGTTAGAGAAAATCTCCCTGGTCATGATGGATGGGAGGGCCCAGGCAGAAAGGCTGAGGCCAGGGCTCTGGGGAAGCCAGTGATATTTAGGACGCAACATTGGACTTGGTGATTGATTGGATGTGGTAGTGTTGGGGACAGGAGGGAGGGGAGGAGACAAGGGGAAGGTAATTCATTAGTATTTGAATTCCTTCTGGACAGGGTGCACGTGGTCCCCTTCTCTCTACAACCAGCACCCAGCACCAGACTGGACCTCTGCAAATGTGTTGAAAGAGTGAATGACTTTGGCCCTTCTTTTTTGCTCCTGCGCTGCCCTTCAGAGTGGGGACGGGAGAGGCAGAGGATGGACCCCTAAACTCTACAGCCTCTGTCCATTCTCCTCTCTCCTTTGCCTTAATTGCCTTCTCTGAATAAAAAGAACAGATAATAATAATAATAATGACTAGTCCCTCTTTTTGTCCAGCACTTTAGCATTAAGGGAGGGTATTCACATCCGTTCCATTTCAGGGCTACAGCACTGAGTCTGCAGAAGGGGAGCGTCTTGCCCTGCTGGTCCGAGGCAGAGCCAGGTCAAGGACGGGAAGGCCCATTGATCATTTTTGAGCCCGGATTCATTTTACCTTTGCCCCCTCCCTGCAGCCCCGGGGGCCCCGCGTGGTCGCGGTTACTAATCCATCGCCCTTTCACAGGTGATAAATCGAAAGCCGTGACTGTGCAGTGGAAAGAGCCAGCCGCGTCTGACTCCGACAGCTGTGTGGCTGGCCTTGGACAAATTGCTCACCTCTTGGAGCCTCAGTTTCCCAGTCTGTCTCTGTGCTGCAAAGACGTGGACGCCTGGCCCTGATGGCAATTCTCATGACTGGCCAGAGAGGGGAAGCGTCCTCTCAAGGTTAGTCATGGGGGGAGGGGGTTGGAATCCAGCCCCCCTGACTTCCAGGCCCGCGGGCTGTCTGTCCACTGACCCAAAAAACCTTGGACAAGCAAGAAGGGGGCTTGGCTGGGCCAGAGGGACCCTAAGCCTCTGAAGCCCGAGGCAGACCTCCTTCCACACCCCTCCTGGCCTGTCCCCGGGGAGGGAGCAAAGATTCATTAGTTATGGCACCAGCTGGCAGGCAGCCGTGAGAAGGACGAAGGATGGGAGGACCAGCTGCCCGGAGACTCCCTGCCGAGGAACTGGGCCAGGGGGGAAGGAGGAGAGGGCGGGCGGGAGGGAGGAGGGAGGTGGCAGGCAAAGTCTGTGACTGAAACGTCTGGCACAGTCGGAGGCCCTTCCCCCCAGCCCTTCCCCACCCCCTTCTCCCTCGCCACCTGCCCTTCCTTCTGAAGCATCAGAAGCCAAGCCCGTGCATCCTTCTGACTCGCTCTCCAGCTGGGTGACGTCCTTGGGCAAGTCGCTCAACCTCTGTGAGCCTCAGTTTCCCCTTGGGTCCAACAGGTGTAATGATGCTCATGCCATAGGGTCGTGGTGAGGAGCCAAAGAGCGAGGCCAGCGAGGGACTTGGAACTGGGATGTGGAATGCGTTTTTCACCTCTTCCTTTGGGTGAGAACGACGATGGACACGAGTCCCCACCACCCTATGGCCCCCAAACCCATCCTTCTCTCCTCGATCACAAGTTGGTCCCAATAATAATCGCTATCGAAGGAAAGATGGCTACTTGCCAGGCACACACTAATCACTTTAGGGGCCTTGATTTCATTTTCACACACAGTCTTTCCTGGTGAGCGGGAAGGACTATACATAGGAGGGTGTGGAGGTTCAGACAAATCAAGTCACTTGCTCAAGGTCACACAGACCTGGGGTCACCGGGGAAGTTATCAAATAAAACGGGGCACTTTTGAGAATCAAAGGAGGTGCTGCTGACAATTACGCCAGGACCAACCCAGGCAAGCAGGGCAGGATGTCGCTCTACATGGAGACCATGTGGTCGAACCAGGATTCCCAGTCAGGCCGGATCGATCCTTCTGGAATAGGACCCTGCATTCAATCCCGGGCAGCCCACCTACTCTCCTGACCCCGATCAAATCTCATCATCTCCCTGGGCCTCAGTTCCCAACTCTGTCAGAGGAGTGCCGTGGAGGCTGCACAGCGTAAAGCCCACAGTCACAGCTTTAACTCCTCAAGCACTGAGGTCCAGAGAGGAGCAGTGATCGGCTCAAGGTCACACAGCAAAGTCGGGGGCTGAATGAGGATCTGACCCCAGGTGTCTTGACTCTTCGCGAATGTGGTAATGATGAAACGAATGCAGGTAAATCCCTTGCTTGGCACTGTGCCTGGCCATAGTGACCACCTACCCTCTGGCATCTTAGGTCTACATTACATATTCTTATTCTCTTCCTACCTCTGTGCATCTTTCCCCCCAGAGGCCCCAGCCCCTGCTCCTCTCCTGGTCCCTTGTCTGAGAGGTGGAAATGAATGGGCTCTGGCATCTCACAGATCCCAGTCTGATTCCCTGCCTCTTACTGTGTGACCTTAGCCAATGCTGTCCAATGGAACCTTCCACCATGATGGAAATGTTCTAGATCCTTACTGTCCAATATGAGAGCTGCCAGGCTGAAATGTGGCCACTGTGACTGAGGCAGGATTTCTTTTTTTTTTTTTTTTTGGCCGTACCATGCAGCTTGTGGGATCTTAGTTTCTCCACCAGGGATCGAACCCGGGCCGCCTGCAGTGGAAGTGCGGAATCCTAACCACTGGACTGCCAGGGAATTCCCTGAATATTTTATTTTATTTAGTTTAGATTAGAATAGCCACATGTGGCTTGTGGTTACCAAATTGGACAGCACAGCCTTAAAAAAATTATTTAACTTTCTCTGATCCTCAGTTTTCTTCTCTCAAAAATGGGGCTCCATAGCACCCACTTTGCAGGGTTGTTTCTTCCAAGGAGAGTTAATAAGTGCTCAGAATAGCGCAGGGCCTACAGTTAGATGCTCAGTAAAGGGTGACTTCCGTTATGAGCTCCCTTTGGCTTCATTTTCCCCATCTAACCCCTTCTTCCCCCCCCCACTCTCTCTGCACTGGGTCTGGGAAGTGAGACACCTGCTTCCTGTCACCCACGGGGCAGCCGGGCTACAGGAGGGCCTCACCCCTGCAAAGCTCCGCGCGATCGTCTTTGGCCTCTTGAGAAACTGCACGGCTTCACTGTTGGCCAGGTCCTGGAGGCTTTCTGGGATGTGCATGCCTGCTGTTCTGCTGCCCAGGCCCTGGGAGGCCGGAGCAGGAATGCTGGGCGCTGCCTGCTGGGCACTACCATCCAGAGGCTCTAGGCCCACCCTGGGGCTCAGCTGCTGCAAGACAAGAGGGATGGAGGGGGGATGGTTAGAGTCCAAGGTGTGGGGTAAAGGGGCTGCCAGGGGTCCCAGGAGTAGGGGGCAGGGGATGGGAGGGTCCTTGTAGTCCCAGGATGGGGTTATATAGGGTGAGGGTTCTTAGGAGTCGGTGCATGGGTGAAGGAGATGCGGGGGTAGGGGTCCTAGAGATCGGGGCGCAGGATGAGAGGGTCCCATGAATTGGGATGCGGGGGGAGGGGGCTTCTGAGAATTGCAGAGGTAGGGGCACAGGGTGAGGGAGCTGCTGGGGTCCCAGGAGTCAGGAATGCAGGCTGAGGAGGGCCCCAGAGGTGGAGGTGCAGAGTGGGGAGATGCCTGCCAGGCTAGGGAGAAGGAGCGGGGAGAAGGCAGGATACTAGGGTGATGCCCTGACACAGGAGCCAGAGGGCCCATTTTAAGGACTGTGTTAATGGGATTTTCGAGGGACTAGGGGTGCTGGAATGGCGATCAGAATGCCGGGGAGGTCTGAAACAGGGGGATCCCTTTCAGGCTTTGGGGTGACAGCACCCGTAGTGTAGACCCCAAGCAGCTCAGGGTAGATTTTAGGCTGTCCTCGTGATTGCGGGTGATTGCCTTAGAATCAGGGTCTCCCCTTAGAGCTCAGGTCCATCTTCATAAAAGTGCATTTCCTCAAGTCGGGGGTCTGGACCTCAGATGTGTAGGGAACATGGGCTCGGAACTCAGCTGCCCCCTCAGAATGAGGAGGCCGTGCCCCCGGCACTAAGCTACCTTCAGAGAATCGGGGTCTTCCCTTTAAGGACGTGGAATGGGGGTGGTGACACTTGGGGGTGATGCTGCCTGACAAAGGGTCACCCCTACTCTGGAGGCCGGGTCAACGTCACCTGGAGGACCGCTCTTCCTTCCGCCCACCTTCCCCTCCTGGTCCTGGCACCACCTCAGCCTTCTTTTGGTTCCTCTTTTTCCCGCCTTTTCGCTCCTTCTCTGCTGGAGCTGATTGGCTGAGCCAAAGCCCCGCCCCCTCTCTTTCCCCGCCTACTCTGGAGCTGACAGGCGCAGGGGCGTGGCCTCAGCGGACGTTGGGCCGCCCGCCGTTGGCAGGCTGCGCGCGGAAGCCCTGCACGGTCCCGGAAGTCCCGGGAGTCTGGCGCCCGCCCCGCCCCTTTCCCTTTGAAGCTCTTGGACAAGGAGATACTTCTGCAGCGCATGCGCCGAGTCCAAGGAAAGCGAGTTGTGGAGCGAGGCAGGCAGATTGCGCGTGCGCAGTCGACACAGGGCGTTAGAAGAAGGAAAGGGACCTCTCTCAATGACCTAGGCATTGCGCATGCGTCTCACTGCGGACTGAAGCCGAACCTCGAAGGACCAGGACGCTTTTCTGCACATGCGCAGGAGGCTCAATGACAGTTGAACGTTGGCTAAGGTGAGGGAAAGGGTGAAGGATTGCCTGGCCGGGGGTGGGCGGCCCTGCACCCCTATGTAGCCTTCCGAGCATATCCTATGCGCTTAAGATCCACCTGCCGCCTAGACCCCGCAGAGACTAGTTGTGTCACCACAGGGCTTCTGGGACCGCAATACGCTCCAGGACTTGAAGACCTCTGACCCCTGCCTAGGACTCAGGCCAACTGAGCACTGTGGGAGGGGACGCACAGCAAGGGCCTACGAGGCGGGCGGATGGGCTCTGCGCCCTTCCTGGGGTAGAAACGGCCCCTGGAAGTTGGGACACGGAGGTGGAGAGGGCGCCTTTACCCCCAGATGACCATTGACTTATGCCCATTTCCCTCGTTTAGGCTGCGGGGAAAGGGTCTGGCCATGCTGCATGTGACCCGAGGGTTCTGGGGATCCAGGGTCCGAGTATGGCCCCTGTTGCCCGCGCTCCTCGACCACCCCCGGGCCCTGTCATCGCTGGCGGCCAAGATGGGGGAGTACCGCAAGATGTGGAACCCCACGGAACCCCGCAACTGGTCCCAGCAGTACCGCGAGCGGTTCATCCCGTTCTCCAAAGAGCAGCTGCTCCGCCTCCTGATAAAGGTACAGCCCGCCCCGGGTCCAAGAGCCTTGGAAATACGAATCCCGGCAGGCCTCGCGGCGGTACAGCCCTTCATGCTATAGAGGGCTGCCTTGGAGCCCCCTGGGAGTTGTAGTTCCTATTCCCTTTATAGGCCCAGGTGGGCGTGGAGTGAGTTGGAATGCAGGGGACTGACCTTTGAGATGCAGATAGGTGCCGCAGCAGTTCCGGACTCCAGCTTGTTCTGGGGGCTGGAACAAGCGCTCACTGGGGCATGGTTTTTCCCTCTACAAAATGGGTATAATAATCATCCTCATCATTACTATTACTACTGCCTAATAATAATTATTATACCCACGAAGCTATAATTATAATGATATCACACAGAGCTCTTATTATATGGCACTGTGCTAAACATTTCCCACATATTATTGAATTATTGAACAACCCAATAAGAGAGGTACCACCATCATTCTCATTTTACAAATGAGGTAACTGAATCAGGAAAAGGTCAGTGACTCACCCAAGGTCATGACTAGTGGCCCAGATCTGACTCCACAGCAGGGCGGGGACAAGGATGAGGCAAGTAGGCACTTGCTCGACCCTAACAGCTTACCCCACTATTGCCATCATACTTGTGATTATTCTGTATTATCATTCATTCATTTAATAATTATTGATTAAACACCTGTATGGACTAAGTCCTGTGCTGGGCTTTATCCATACACGAAAGTATATGTACACACACATAAACACACGTGTATATATACGGACACACATAATCACATCACATTCTCACCATTGCTTTTTTGAGAAAGAGGGTATGATCCTCTGTTGCCGATAAGGAAACAGGCTCAGAGAAGTGATGACATTCACCCCGGGCACCGAGATAGGAAGCATAAAAAAGTGGTTAAGTATGTGTGCTCTGGAGTCAGATAGGCCTGGATTGTAGTCTCAGCTTTTCTTTATACAGACAGTGTAGCCCTCAGCAAGTGACCTCTCTGAATCTAAGTGTCCCCTCTGAATAATGAGGGTTATAATTCCATCAACCTCCTTGCATCCTCTAGAGGATGATATCATGCCAGCAAACAGCGCCTGGCACACAAATAAGGAGTGACTCCTGGCCAGTAAGTGTCAAAGCGGGAACCTGAACATCTAGCTCTTCAAGTCATCTGTTTTTCACTCTCTGGAGCTACCTCAGTTTCTTGGCCAGTGAAATTGATCAACCCTTGTCCCTTCTAAAACATGCCCAAATTTTAAAGAGCCCAGAGCTCTGATTGTCTGTCTGGGTTGCCCAGGAAAGAATTCCTCCCCATGAGGAAGTAGGGAGAGGCCTAAAGAGAAGTTTTGCTTCCCGAGGTAACAGGAGTTCCATTCCAGTCCTGCGGAGAAGGCGGCTTTGGAGGAGTTCGTGACCCACGTGAACTTTTGCACCTTGTTCCACTACCATCACATCCTGGCCCAGCTGCAGGTGAGGACAGGGCCCCTCTGGCCCTGTCATCCTTGTTTGCTTATCCATTCATTAAGCAAAAATTCTCTGAGGGCTTACTTGGAGCCTGGCCCTGTTCTAAGCACTGGCAATGCAGCAGTAAGCAGAAGAGATGAAGCCATGCCCTTGTGGAAGTGACATTCCAATTGGGGAGATGATAAATCAATAATTGTAAAATATGATACCCAGGAGTTGTAAGTGCTATTGAAGGTGGAATAGAAAGGGACGAGAAGGGCACCTGTTTTAGACAGGGTGGTCAAGGAAACCTTCTCTGAGGAGGTGACAGGTGAGTTAAGACCTGAGTGAAGTGATGCAGCGAGCCTCATGGGTGTCTGGGGAAGGACATTCCAGGCAGAGCGAAAAGCAAGTGCAAAGGCCCTGAGGTGAGAGAGGGCCTGGAGTGTTGGGGGAATGGCAATGGGACCACTGGCTGGAGGGAGAGAGGGCAAGAGGTGAGAGCAGAGAAGGAGTGGGGGAAAATTGTGCCTGGCCTTGTGGGCCATGCAGAGGACTTGGCTTTTATGCTAAGTGAGCTGGGAGCCGCCGCAGGTGGGCTCTGAGCAGAGGAGGGTCATGAGCTGATTCGGGTGTCAATAGGATCCTTCTGGCTGCCATGTAGGGAAAAGACGGTCAGAGGCAGGGAGATCTATTAAAGAGTCTATTATGTTTGTCCAAGTGAGAGATAATGGCAGCTCCCACAAGGGTAATAGCAGTGGAAGTGGTGAAAAGTGGTCAGACGCTGCTAATGGTCCGAAGGCATCAGCATTCGGCTGTGTGGGCGGGGCCTTGAGAGAGAGAGGAGTCAAGGGGGCCTCCAGCGGTTCAGGTCTGCTCCTCCCGAGGGATGCAGCTGCCACTTACTGAGACGTGGAAGACAGAGTCGGGGGCAGGAGACAGGTCTGTGGGGAAGGTTGAGAGCTCAGTTTTGGACTCAGAAATTTGAGCTGTCTATTGGACAGCCCGGTAGAGAGAGGGACTTGAATGCCCACAGGCTGGAGGTCAAGGGAAGGGGCTGGGCTAAGAAATAACCCTGGAAGTATCTAGATGGTACTGCATGCAACCACCAGGGGGATTAGTCCTGAGGAGTGAGTGCCAGTCCGGAGGTCAGGAAGGGGAACTGGAAGCAGTGAGGGGGCTGGACAAGGAGAAGTCAGAGAGAAGCAGAACTCCAGGAAACGGTGGAAGCCAAATTCTCAGCATCCTCCTCCTGCTCTAGGATCTTGTGTTGGGCACCTCCAGGACCACCCTCAGATTCACTGATTTCCACGAGGGGCTCACAAAGCTCAGTAAAGCTGTTATGCTCCCAGTACTAGTTTATTACAGCAAAAGGAGAACAGACAAAATCACAAAGGAAAAAGGCAAGGAGACGGGGTCCAGGAGAGACCAAGTGAGAGCTTCCGGTTGTCCTCTCCCAGCAGAGTCACAGGAACAGTGCTTCATTCTCTCATCAGTGGTGCATGACAACACGCAGGGTATCACCCACCAGGGAAGCTCACCTGAGCCTTGGTGTCCAGGGTTTTTAATGGTGGTTGGTCAGGCAGGCGTGGCTGACTGCCTACGTGGCTGATCTTAGTTACTTAGTCTCCAGCCCCTCCAGAGGTCACACTGCTACTTCATGGCCCCACCATGAATCACATTGTTAGCACAGACTATCAGGTGTGGCCCAAGCCCCTGGTAAACCAAGATACTCCCATCCGGCAGGATAGTCCAAGGGCTCAGAGGTTCCCTCCCAGGAGCCCACCAGTTCTTTGGAATGTGCAGGGTTTGGACAACCCAGGCCTGCCAAGTTAACCCTTTACCGCTCCTGACCCCCTATAGCTCTCCTCTTTGCTTCGATGAGGGGCAACATCGGCCCCTCTGTGTCAGGCTCATCAACTCCTTCCTGCAGAACCGAGGAGCAGCTGCCATCAGCCCCATTTGCAGAAGCAGAAATTGAAGCTCCAAGAGGGCCCAGATGTGCCCAAGATCATACAGGTCCCAAGTGGCAGAGCTCGGATTTGCACCCCTGTCTCCTGGCCTCCAAGCTCTTCTTTGGGGCACTTTTTTTTAAAGTTATTTAAAAATATATTATTATATAAACATTTAAATATATTGAAACAGAAAGAATATACAGTGAAGACAGACATTCTCACTGAGGCAGCAGATTTTAAATGGAGACACTGAGAGGGTTGGGTAGAAGCACCAAAGGTGAGTGAGACACACTGGGTGACCATTTGCTGGTGACCTAAGTCCGTTGAGGAACCAGGCAAAGAACAAGAAGAGCCCAGTTCAGGCGCCAGCTTTGTCGTTCACTAGCCGTGCGGGTGACCTTGGTAGGTGACCTCTCTCTGCTCCTCCTTTCTCCTACGCATTTATTCACTGAATTCACTCACTAGATATTTACTGAGCACCTACTCTGTCCCCCGAATGGTTCCAGCCCCCAGGACACAGCGGTGAGCCTGAGATGTGTGTATC